TCAGTATCTGCTGCAGGGTTGCCTCCTGGGGTGGGAGAGGAGCTGCGAGCACCTTTCTAGGGGGCTGAGCTCGCCCGTGCACTGGCTGGCCAGACCTTTGCTTCCCCTTTCTGCCTGCAGGTTCTGTGGGGAGACGAGATGGGGCCCCAGATGGAAAAGCTGGCCTCAGTGTCAGTGGAGCCGGGGAGGGTTTCCAAGCAGTGGAAGGACCTGGGCTTTAGAAGATTCCATCACTGAATTCCCATGTAGTTGACTGCGGTTCAAGTCCCGGACCCAGCAGCTTAAAACTCATGCCGGGTGTGTATGCATGCATGCCCAAGATCCCAAGAGGAGAATGGGGAAGGAACTAAGGGCCTGCTGTGTGGCCACCTCCTTGGAAGGTGGTTTCTTATTTTCTGTCTGTCTCTCCAGTGAGCGCACACTCCCTATAGCAAAAATTTCTCTCTTAAAAAAAAAGAAAAGAAATAAAAGAAGATGAGTCTAGCAGAAGTTGTGAGAAACTTGGCCAATGTGACCTTGCCTCATAAGTCTAGCAGAGGATGTGAGAAACTTGGCCAATGTGACCTTGCCTCCTACTCACTCCCACCCCACCCTGGACCAAATATAGGAGGCTTGTGGGACTGCTGTGCCCTTCCCTCTCCACTGCCCTTCCCCCCACCTGGAGTGCTGGTCCTGTATCGCTTTCACCAGGGCTGGGCTCATGTCCCTTTCGCTTCTGATCACTGGGCGTTACGTTGCACAGAATGGCTTTCTCAGTCGTGTGCCTCACAGGCTGGGAGTACATTTCAGCCCAAGGCCTAGCACACTGACAGTACAAGGGGATGTGGAACCAAGCCCTGGGTCCAGAGCCAGGCTCCAGTGCTTCTGAGCGGAGTTCCCTACCCTCTCCCTGGGAGTAGGGCCTGAGGCAGTCATTCACCTGGAAGGTGATCTGAGATGCAGAGTGGAAAGTGAGACATGGAAGGGAAAGGGCGTAGGGGTGTCTACGAGGAGGTTACCAGCTCAGCCGTGGAGCTATCCTGCTCCGGAGCCTCTGGATGGGGCCTGTGCCTGCACCACCCTGCTGGGGGCTGGGGCTGGGGGCTGGGGTCTTGCTTCACATTTCTGCTCTGCCTGCACTTGCAGCCTGGGGGCGCCAAGTGGACTCTGGAGGCAAAGAAAGACCTCCAGGCAGAGGCAGGTCTTTGCAGCTCAGCATGTGCTGGAGGGTCGCTGCGGCAG